AAAAGAAACTGAAAAGTCATGAGAATTTCAAATGAATGTGGTGAAAGGAAAAATGTTTCATTTATAAGTATACTAGAGGAATTCTCACGCGTTACACAGCATAGGTTAAAAATATATTGTTAAAATGTAACGTCCGGTTTCCGCTATGTAATTTTAATATAAGTTTTTTCATTTTTACTCTGGGACTCGACGAGTTGGAGGACCCAACTCGTCGAGTAGATGCAAATTTTGGGACTCGGGTGGAAGAATCTACTAGTCGAGTCGGAAGCCCCGACTCGACGAGTAGACATGTCTGGATGAAACCCTAAATTTGAGGGTTTGCACCCAATTTAAACAACTTATAGGGTCTCCACTCCAGCCTCCATCACCCTCAGACTCTCTTCACGAAACCCTAATCGAATATTGAGTATTCTTGAGCCTTTTTGTGCCATCTGTGTGTCTTTGAAGCTTGAGAAGAAGGAGGAGGCTTGGGGGATCAAGAGAAAGCAACTAGATCTAGAGGTTTTGGCACATTTCCAGCTCATTTGAGGTATAAAGTGAAGGGTTTTGAGCATTCTAACACTACTATGGTGTACATGCAACCCTAGAAACATTGGATCTATGTTTTATTATGATTCATGCAAATTTTATTTCCAAGGTTCATAACCTATCTAGCATAGCATGGGGAACTTTTAAACATAAATGCTTGAAGTAGAACATACCTTATGTAGTTTGGATTCCTTGAAAACCTTGTGAGCATAGCACCTCAAGTGTGATGCCTCAAATGTCTCACACAACACCACAATACTTGGAATAACCTTGAGAGAAGTTCACTAACACCTCAAAATCGGCTAGCCCTCATTCTTGCTTGTACAAGTGCCGATTTTGCTTGTCTAGGGGTCTTTATATAGTTGTGGCACAAGAGGGTTACACCCATGTAAACCCTAATGTCATGGATTTCCATATTCATGATCCATGGGTTTGTAACCTCCATGGACTATCCATGGAGCACCTTATGGGTTTTAACCAATCCATACAAAACATGGATCATTAGCCCACTATACAAGAATAGATGATTTACACAATCACCCCATATATTTAATTAGTCTCTTTTGATCACTTAATTAGTTCCAAATTAATTCTTTGATCAATACTAATTAAATAATATTATTAATATATTAGAACTTATAATATATTAATAAACCTCAAGTGTCCTTTCTCCAAGTATTGCAATGCCATGCAACCCAAGTATTGCAATATATTAATATCCAAGTATTGCAATGCCATGCAACCCAAATGGACCATGCTAACCGGGTCAAGTACATACCAGAAATAGTTATGGACTTAGACACCTTATCCAACAGTCTCCCACTTGGATAAGTCTAATAAACTATAACTGCAAGTATGACTTCAGGAACCGATCAGCAATCGTAGCTCTTTCAAGGTCTCGCGGAACTGAGATGATGATGATACGCCATTTAAGATAAGTGATCAGATAATCCTCTGTTCTAGATATCAGTCGGACAAATACATGGAACAATGTCTTACTTATTGTCCAGCAGTTTGTTTCCCGATTTCCGATTTGTTTGACATAGAACTTAATTGAACACCATCAACTTAGTTCTAACCGGGCCGGACTGGTACATAGGTCACAAACAAAATCATCGAGGGGGCCCAGATATCGCTTCTAATCCAAGAAGGAACAGATAAACTTCGACTCATATGCTTGTTCTACTAGTTGTTGAATTATACACAAAGGCACGTTTTATAACATCGAGTTACCAATGCGTTTTCGTACAATCAATGTATAACCAACTCATAGGCAACAACTCATATCTCTAGGTTTGAAGACTTATATGATATTACTGTCTCACGATCACTCGAGATAAATTCCATGAAGTGATACAAGTGAGCGTGGGTTGAATCCAATACTCAGAACTTATGAGCACTCATGAGTGTTGTAGCAACACTTTGTTATGTCCAACATCTTAGACATCTACCAGCCAACTCATGACAGTCTTGATTCATATCTACTTCCAACATACGACCGACTGTGGAGAATTTGAATAATATGATATACCATAACAAATTATTGGAAGTCAAAACATGCAAAATGAAATGATAGTAAAACGATTTGACAAAAAATAGCAACACTTTACTCATAAATAAACAACAACTTTTATTCATCATAAAATCTCAATTACACTTTACACATTTCAAAACTATCTAACTACTAAAACTAATATCATCCTTCAGCCCTACGCGCCTCGCATGTTGGATATGCTTAACCCTACCCAGTCCCTTCGTGAGGGGATCTGCTGGGTTCTCATCCGATGATACCCTCTTTGCCACGAGGAGTTCTTCTTCTATTTGATCTCTGATGAAATGGTATTTTCTGTCGATGTGTCTAGATCTCCCGTGATCCCTTGGTTCCTTGGCTAAGGCAACTGCACTTTCACTATCACAGAAAATCTCCATAGGCTCCTTTATAGCTGGTACAACCCCATGGTCTCCAATGAAGTTCTTTAGCCATATAGCCTCCTTTGCTGCCTCGCTTACTGCTATATACTCTAATTCGCAAGTTGAATCAGCCACTGTCTCCTGCTTGGAACTTTTCCAAGAAAATGCTCATCCGTTTAAGGTAAAGACCCAGCCTGACTGAGAGCGGAAATTATCCTTATCGGTCTGAAAGCTAGCCACACTATACCCTAACTACTCTCCAGTCATCACTCCCACCAAGGGTAAAGACCCAGTCCTTAGTCCTCCGCAGGTACTTGAGAATGTTCTTTACCGCAGTCCAGTGATCCTTGCCAAGGTTCCCCTGATATCTGTTGACCATGCTCAACGCAAAGGCCACATCAGGACGAGTATAAGTCATAGCATACATGATCGAGCCTACAACGGAGGCATACGGTACTCGACTCATCTCAGCTACCTCAGCCTCTGTACTCGGGCTCTGAGTCTTACTCAATCTAGCGTTACTCTGGATCGGTAACTCTCCTTTCTTGGAATTCTACATGCTGAACCTATTCAGCACCTTATCCAAGTAGGTACTCTGACTAAGTCCAATTAGTCTTTTTCTCTTGTCTCTCAAAATCCTTATCCCTAGGATATAGGCAGCTTCTCCAAGGTCCTTCATAGCGAAACACTTCCCAAGCCAGGACTTCACTTCCTGCAGAGTTAGGATGTCATTTCCTATGAGTAGTATGTCATCCACGTACAATACCAAAAAGCTAACTATACTCCCACTAGCCTTGACATATACACAGCACTCATCTTCACTCCTCGAAAAGCCAAACTCTTTGACTCACTACTAGAAAAACAGCCTTTTACAACGCGCAATGTGTGTCGTAAAACGCTCAGACGACGTGCAAATGTGTGTCAAGGAAGGCCCTGTTATAACGAGAGACGACACGCTTTTGCGCGTCGTCTATTTACGACGCGTATTTACGACGCGCATTTACGACACGCATTTACGACGCGTATTTACGACACGCATTGCGTGTCAAGGAAGGCCCTATCATAAAGGAAGATGACACGCATTTGCGTGTCGTAACCTTACGACGCGCGTTTAGGACACGTATTGCGTATCATTAAAGCCCCTGTCATAAAAGAAGATGACACGCATTTGTGTGTTATAAACTTCAACAACCATTTACGATATGCATATATGAAGTGCCTTTATGATACTCATTTACACATAATACAAAAATATGGAAACAAATATATACCAAAACAATCAATTTCATCCAATAACATTATGTCAAAAAATTGTAATACATTGATATTAAGAGGATCTGATTGTACATTGTTATTAAGAGGCAATTCATAACCTAATACTACATTGCTATTAAAGGGCACCTTCTTGTTGCACGCCTCCGGCTCCATGTGAAGAACCACTGTCAGACAATTCACCCCCTTCATGTAATAACGGGCACAAAATGCAGCCAAGTGCGCATAGTAAGCATGAGAAACTGCATTTTTTATTTGAAATATATCATATATAGTTTTAGCATAATATTATACTCAAAAAACAAGAGCAATTATATATTATTTATACCTATGGACACAGATCTTGTACACCTTTGATAAGTGTAGCATAGACAGTTTGTTAAAATTTAGAGACCATCAGGAGTGAACTTATTCTCATCATACAACACATGGTAATGTGTTGGCCTGCTTGTTCCCTGCAAATCAGATATATCATCACCTTTTAAACTGAAAGATTTATTAAGCTCAAGTATTTCAGTTGGTTCACCTGAATACCAGCATGACTACACAGGTAGAAATCAAACTCCATTGGGTGACAAATCTTGGTGTCAACCACAGCCCCTGCTAACATAACATTTAACATTCATTCTTAATAAATGAAACCATAATTGTGTACTTATTTACAAATAATAACACTATTGAAAACCTGGAAGAATGTTGCCAATCCTATCAGTGCAAACTTTATCTCCATGCTTCATAGGAAAGAAACGTGTGTGATGCCTCCTCCAATGACACACAAGCCTGATATAAATATAAATAAACATCAAGTCATAAGTTTTTTCAAGACTGCAAGTTTGAAATCATAACCTTCCGGTATGCATTTTAAGGTATAGCAATTGTTTTGGATATGGCCCAATAATGGGTTATGGGTAAACTGTTTTAATTAAAATGTTGTAATAAATAGGAGTTTTGGAATCATAACATTAATAAGGGAAAAACTGAAAACGCAATGGAATAGTGCAAATCTTTTTTCTTGCATATATAACTAAGCAATCTTATCAAAAATTGCTTTCTATTGATGTAATTGATTAAAATTTTTAAACACCATGGTTTTAGGTGGCAACATCCTGTAAAAAGAGTATATATTAGTTTGTGTTGATAAAAAAAAAGGCACAAACAACCTAGAATTGTATTTCATAACCAAATCCCTAATCTAATAAGAAAATAGGTCAAACCCAAGAAAAAAGTATAGACACTTGGTTCAGAAGAAATAAATGCACTGTCATCATCCTTGCTGTGCTGGCCACAGAACAGGATGTTGTGTCATAGGTGGCATATAACCATCTTTACTCCATATTATGTTCAGAAGATAAAAATGCACTGTCATCATCCTTGCAGTTCAGAAGATAAAAATTATCCATCTTTACTCCATATTCTGACTTGCCCATCATAAGAACCTATTCCAAGTAGTGTTCCATAACCATACATTACAAATTTCATTTATCAGTAGAATCAAAAGCATGAGATGTAACAGTAAAAAGTAAAAAGTAAATAAAAAAATAATAATGAAAAAAAATCACATTCCAGTCATGTGTGGAATCAACAAATTTACTTCTTTTACTCATAATAGCAACATACTCATATTTCTTTACACATAATAGCAACATATTTACCTTTTTTTTTTACAAATTATACCTATAAAGAGAAAGGAAATCTAACCTTCAGGAAATCTATACCGATTTTAGAGTCGCCTACAACGTATATACTTGTGAATCCTTTGCTAAGATCACATCTTAACCCTAAAATCATAGCTCGATATTCAGCAACATTATTAGTTATTATACCCAAACCTTCAAGCAATCTAGAAAACTACAATCAGAGGTATATCAGAGGTATACATTATATGAAACTTAAAGAACAAAAAAGTTCAAATTAAAAACGGTTCTTAAAAAATTATTGAAAGTATAACACTGCAATTGGATGTTAGCAAAAAAAGGAAACAAATCGAAACATACACAGTACGTATAGTGAATGTTACATAAACAATCCTTAGATATATAAAATTTTATGTATATGGTCCCTGTATCAATTTTATGTGTGTGTATATATATATATATATATATATATATATATATATATATATATATATATATCTATATATATATATATTATATATTACAGGAATGGAATTAGTATACTATATATACTATTTCATACAATATATACTATATATCTATGGGTCCTAGCTTTTAAAAATTAGCAAAACTGGATAATTTTTAAAAATATTACAACATTGGTTGCTACATAAAAGAACTACAGGAATGGTCACTGTCTAAACTGTTAAATAGGAATAACCCTTCATTTAACAAATTTTGAGATGAAACTTAAAGATTAAAAAGAAAAATCAAATTAAAAGATCGAAACTATAATGCTAAAACAGGAAAAAAAATAAAAATAGATAAGTAAGATGTTATATACAAATGCAAGCATACAATTTATTACAGAAACAATCCTTACATACAATTTTTTTACATATATGGTCCCTATAGCAGAATTCATTATAGAAAAAATAATTTTATGTAAACAATCTTTATAAATGCAACCATACAATTTCATACTCACGCATATAACATGATAATTTCAGTTTTAAAGGGTAGCAACATATATACCCACAAATAGGATTATAATGATTCCATTTAATTGGATTGCAATCTCATTTAAAAAATAACATATCACAGTTCAAAATAAATAAATATCAGATTTTGAGGATGAATTTTTCCTTGATATTACTGGATTGTTTATAACAAATATTATGGAGGTAATAATGTTTACCGAGTTTGTAGCATTTTATAAGTATTGATAATATGGTTAGTTTACAATTGTATTTAAAGCATGCCATTTAATTATCAATGGAAACTCAAAAAAAATAAGTATATTATCACTTACTAAATCTAATGAAATCGAAATTAATGGTATATGATGGAAGGGTATAGTAACCGGAAATTAAAAGGAATTAATGTAGGGTATTGTAGTAAATTAACATTGTCAGAAAAACGCATTGTGAGAGTGCCACGTAGGAATAAAAGAGTCTTTTATTATAATAGGAGAGGAGATGACATCATAAGAAAAGAGACAAGAAAACAAGCCCTAAAAACTTACCAAACTTCCATCAACAGTTCGTAACACAGCTCCTGCCCCTGATTGTCCTGGATTTCCTTTACATGAACCATCAAACTCAAGAATACAAGCACCCTGTCAATTGATAACAGTGAAACCATGTAGCAAATACACTTTGATTTCTTTTCAGTTTGATATAAAGAAAGGGATATAATCTTACTGCAGTTTGGGACCCTAAAGCTTCAAGAAAAATTCTTTTGAATTCGGCTATGGAAACATGTGGATCTTGCAGAGAAGAAGAAGATGTTGAAGTACTATTTCTGATCAAATTGGTTACATTTGAAGTCATGGTTTATGTTACCTGAAAAGGGCATGGCACAAGGCTTCCAAATTGCCCTTCTGTCAAATCCATGGCTCTGATGGAAGAAAGAGCATTCTTAAGCCCACAAGAGAGTAAATAATGTTCAGATTCCTTAGGCATGGTGTAGCCTTTATACACACTGAAAGGAGGATCACATATCTAGAGAGATATCATTACCTATTTAACTATTTTATCCGTAAATACTTAATAAGAAAAAAACAGCCTTAGTTAGTAATACAGACATGTTGTGAGCCTTTTACAGATTCATGATAATCTGAATTCCTAATGAATTCTTTATTTTTTAATAGAAACACAAAAATCCCAATTTCTAAATGTCACTAATTTCCACCATTTGTTGAATGATTTTTGATATTTTGTCTTCTGTCATTGCAAGCTTTCAGATCTTGAACATCTGTGAATGCATAATGTGAACCAGTTTGAACATGATTACAAGAAGTCCGGAAGCAATCGTTGTTAGGGTGAGATTAGGAAGAAATAAGGAGCATACCTTTCTGGAAAACCTTCCAATTCCTATTAGAGTCAACAAGACATTCCTTAAGAAAAAAAAATTGTAAACACAAAATTTCTGTTTAGGGGTTTTGCGATTTCTAGTTAATGAAGAATTTGGCAAACAATATTTTACCTGTAATAATAAGTAGAGAGAAGAGCATTGCTGGAGCTGCTTCACGTTCTCATCATCTTCATCTGAATCGTTATTGTGAACCGGTTGTGGTTGTGGTTGTGGATCCATTTTCATTTGGGTCAACAGCTTTAGAAATTGGTCTCAATCTCCGGTCGTCGAACAAGAACCGGGCGTACAGAGAAAGCTGACCAGAAGTTGGAGAGAAGATGTGGAGAAGTTATGGTAACAAGCGACGAAGATGCGAAGCTGTGGGAGGATCGTGCTGGAGATGCGAAATTGGAGAGCAGATGTGGAGAAGTGAAGCGGTGGAGGTTTGAGAATCGAGAGAGAAGAAAGAAAGAAAGGGGGTTTTCGACAGGGACGAGCTAGGGTTTTCAGCTGGTGGAAACAAAGCGGGGTTTTTAATTTTTGGGATTTCATTTCCCTCCTTGTAATGCAACGCGCGTTTCATTAAAATTTATAAAGCGACATGGTTAGACAACACACATTTTATTTAAGGTGCCCTCCGTGTTTTTTTTTATTAGACACTAGTTTTAGGGCACGCAAAAATGTGTGTCCTCTATGCATCATATTTTGGAAAACTGACATCAATGTTTAAGGCACACACAAATGTGTGTCCTCTATCAGCGCGTGTCATTGATTGCACGTCGTAAAATGCTGTTTTTCTAGTAGTGACTTTCTCATCGAAACAAAGATTCCATCTGCAAGGTGCTTGTTTCAATCCATAGATGGATTTCTCAAGATTACACACTCTATTAGGGTACTCTGCATAGACAAAACCCTCTGGCTTACTCATGTAAACATCCTCAGCCAACTTTCCATTAAGGAAAGCGGTTTTGACATCCATTTGCCATATTTCATAGTCATGAAATGCAACAATGGCTAGCATACCCCTAATAGACTAAATCTTTGCTACTGGTGAAAAGGTCTCATCATAATCAACTCTCGGTGTTTGAGAAAAGCCCTTTGCAACCATTCGTGCCTTATAAGTGTGTACATTACCATCCATGTCAGTCTTCTTGTTGAAGATCCATTTGCACCCGACTGTCTTACGACCTGGTACATTGTCAACCAAGTTGCAAACCTGATTGTTATACATGGACTGTATCTCGCTGTCCATAGCCTATTTCCATTTAGCAGCCTCAGGGCCTGCCATGGCTTCCGTGTAGCTGTTAGGTTCATCCAGACTTGCCAGTGTGCTATCACTGATAAGTGTATCACCTTCCGCAGTAATATGGAAACCATAGTAATGCTCATGTGCATTCCTAACTCTCGTGGAACGCCTCAGAGGTACAGACTCTTCTGTCGGATCAACAGGAGTTTCCTCCTCAGGTTGATTGCTAGGGTTTGAGGTTCCTTCACCACTTGACTCTTGAATTTCTTCAAGGTCAATTTGCCTCCCACTGTTTCCTTGGCTTATGAACTCTCTCTCTCTCTCGAAAGACTCCTCTCCTTGCTACAAAGACCACATTATCACTGGGTCTGTAGAAGAGGTAACCAAAAGATCTCTGTGGGTAGCCGATGAAAATACACCTCTCACTTCGAGGTTCGAGTTTATCCTGATTCTCGCGCCTCACGAATGCCTCGCAACCCCAAATCTTGATGTGGTCCAGATTGGGAACTTTTCCAGTCCACATCTCGTGAGGTTTTTTGGCAACCTTTTTGGTAGGGACTACCTTAAGGATATGGGCGGCAGTCTCTAAGGCATACCCCCAAAATGAGATTGGTAGCGAAGCTCGACTCATCATGGAACGAACCATATCCAACAAGGTTCGATTGTGCCTCTCAGCCACACCATTCAACTATGGTGTCCTGGGATGTGTCAATTGTGAGACAATCTCACATTCCTTAAGATAGTCAAGGAACTCTGTACTAAGATACTCACCACCTACCTCAGATCGAAGCATCTTAATGTTCCTGCCCAACTGATTCTCCACTTCCTATTTAAACTCCTTGAACTTTTCAAAGGTTTCTGACTTATGCTTGATTAAGTAGACATATCCATATCTACTATAATCATCAGTAAAAGTCACATAGAAGCGGTTAGCATCTCTTGTGGCGGTTTTGAAGGGTCCACACATCTGTGTGTACAAGATCCAACAAACCTTCACCCCTAGCACAAGTACCAGTGAAGGGTGACTTTGTCATTTTCCCAAGCAAACAAGATTCACAACTATCATCTGACTTTAGGTCAAATGACTCCAAGACTCCATCCTTTTGGAGTTGGCCTATGCGTTTCTCGCTTACATGTCCAAGACGACAATGCCATAATGATGCTTTATCCAAGCTAGAGGAAGAATCGATACACAACACATTATTTCCTAGGTTATCTAGAACCGACACAGTTTCATACACACCATCACAAGGTAATGCTTTAAAATAAAGTACATTATTAAAGAAAGCATTAATACCACCACATTCATTATCAAATGAAAAGGTAAAACCTTGTTTGTACAAACCATGAAAGGAAATAATATTTCTTGCCATTTCAGGCGAGTAACAACATTCATTCAAATCTAATGTTAACCGACTACTTAGAAACAAAGAATAAACTCCAATCTTGGTGACAGGTGTAACTTTCCTATTTCCCATTATCAAGTTTATCTTCCCATGCTCCACATTCTCACTTCTTCTTAGTCCCTGCAAATCAGAACATATGTGAATACTACAACCTGTATCAAGGACCCAAGAATTAGAATAGGGTGAGTTATTAGACAATATAGTGTATATACCTGCATGGTTGGGTTTTACTTTCCCATCCTTAACATCTTGCAAGTACTTTGGGCTGTTTCGCTTCCAGTGCAACTTTTTAGGGCAATAGAAGCATTCAGCCTCTTTAGGGTTGGCAGAAGGAGTGATGAAACCTTTCTTGGTTCCACTTGAATAGGAGCCATCAAGGGACTTTCCCTTGGTACCCTTCGAAGGGCTCTTCCTCTTCTTTCCTTTGCCTTGCCCGATTGCCAAGACAGAGGCCGCGGTAGGAGGAGGAGTAGTAACAACCGACTTACCTTTAAGACCACTTTCTGCAGTCTTCAATAGTCCTTGAAGTTTGTTGAGTGTAACTTCCTCCTTGTTCATGTGGTATGTCATGCGCAATTGATCATAACACGAAGGTAAGGAGTGCAAAATGATATCAATTTCCAACTCCTCTGGGAAGTTCACATTTAGTTTCAGCAAACGGTCCACATACCTTTGCATTTTCTGCATGTGGCCCGTGATGGGTTCACCATCCTTCATTCTGGTTGTTATCATGGAGGAAATGATTTCATACCGCTCTTGACGAGCACTCTAATGGTAGCGGTCCATCAAGTCCTGGTGCATCTCAAAAGGGTAGAAGTCCTCATAGGACTTTTGGAGCTCGGCTGTCATTGTGGCCAACATGATACATGCCACTTTGGTGGCATCTCTCTCATGTGCCTGGTATTCAGCGATCTCCTCAGGAGTAGCAGATGACTCATCGAGTTCCTTAAGCTCCTTGTCGAGGACATATTCCTTGTCCTCATACCGAGTGACCATCCTGATGTTCCTGATCCAATCCATAAAGTTGGATCCATCAAAGATGACTCTCCTACAAAGGTTCATGAGAGAGAAAGAGTCGGTAGGGTTTGAGCCAGAAGCAGCATTGTTTGGAAGACATCTGAAAAGAAGAAAGCAAGTTTAGATTAGATATAAAGATAGTCCTTAATAAAACACCCAAATGTAATATTAAGGCTAGGACCCAACACAATATTTTATAACTTAGAAGAGAGATGCCGTAATCCAAGCTATAAAATATTTGAAGGTAGTTGAATGACGATTCACCAATTTCCACCATGAAAAACGAAATAAATTATTAGGTTTTTTAATTGGTTTTTGAAACTCCTAGATTCTTTGAGATTCATTGAACTTTTCAATGGCATGTTTCAATCTCGAATGTGCCCTTCAAGTTTTGTGACTGGGATGCCGAGGATCACAAAACAAGGTGTGAAGTAACCATGCAAATTACTTGGTACCCTTAATGTTTATCACTCAATCGATGTGTCGGTTAACCACACGCGCTCCACCGACCTATGATAAACCTTAAGTCACCCTTTGCCTACCTTGTTAAGTCCAGGTTAGTGTGTTGGTTAACCACACACGCTCCACTAACGACTTAAACAAAGTGCAAAGTGTAATTTCATGGGTTAGCACCTTATTCACATTTTCCTAAAGTAACGACCCTCCACCAGTCAAGGAAGCGGTGGGTGAGTGTGGACACCCATTAAGCTGCCATTTTATAGGCAACAACCTTATACCCCCTTATAGACCGGCTTCGTGAATGAGGCCTACTAACGGTAAAACGACTTGTTCTTATACATATATAATTATTATTAAACTTATTATATTATAAAGTATAAGGGTTGAATTTTAACTTTTAAAATTATAAGGGTTGGAACTAAAGTTTTAAAGTGACTTTACATGTTCCAAAACTTGAGGGCAAGTTTTGTAACTTTCAAAACTTTTCATCTTTCATAACTTATGAGTTAATGGATTAATAAAATGAGAGACTTTTCATTTTATGTAACCTATGTGTTTAATAATGGACTTTAAAAGAGTGACTTTTGGTAATCCATAACTTGAGGACAAATTATGGATTCCATTAAAACACATCAAGATCAAGAATTGAACTAACAAGTAAGTTACAAGTAATTCCTATGATCTTCTAAACTCATAAGTTCATGAATGTTCATATAGACAATTTCAAGAATCATAAATAAACCATATAAAACTTGAAATTTTTGATAATAGCCATTGAAAATGGATTAGCATAACCATTACACCATCTAAAACAAGTTTTATAACACCAAAACAGTTTAGGGTAATGTTTCTAGTCCATTTCCAGCAGCAAAACTCGAAAATCTGCATTCAGGGGCTCTTACTCGTCGAGTGCACGAACCTACTCGACGAGTAGGATGAATTAACTCATGGACTCGTCGAGTCCCCCTATGGACTCGGCAAGTTCATGCTGCAGAATGCAGAAAACTGAGTTTTTTTTCAACAAGTTTGCATCAAGTATCAAATAAACAAGCCTAGTCTCTGATACCACTGAAGGGTTTTGAGCATTCTAACACTCCTATGGTTTACATGCA